GGGGGGCAACGGTGGGGGTCTGATGGTGGAGCTCGCCGGCCGTGGGACAGGGAGCGCAGCTCCACGCGGCCCCTCCCTCGCTGCGCAGCCGCTACTCCGCAGCCCAGCCCGGCACCCGCCGGCAACTGCTCCGCCGGGAAGGTGCTGAGGCAGCCACCCTTGCTCAGCGGGCGCCGGGACCTTTCATCTTCCCCCTTTGATGTGGTGGGAAGGGGGGCGGGGGGGGGAGAAAAAGGCTTGTTATTAAAGAAATGGCCCCAAGGAGAAAATCGCAATTAACTCCGCGCGGGACGCGGGGCTGGGACGCCGGCGTACCCCAATACCTGCTCCCCACACCGGGGCGGGCACCGGCAGCCGGGGCTCACCGCGGCCGGGCTGTGCCTGTGCCAGGGGATCGAGGGACCGGAGGAAGCGTCACACACGGCTCCATGTCCCACCGTGCCGGGGGAAACCCGGTGCTGGGGAGCTGTAACACCCCCCACCCTACTCCCCTGCGGCACCCAGCGCTGAGGCACAGCCCCCGTGGGACCCCACGCTGGGGCTCGTTAAGCAGCGGCTCATTAAGAAGAGCGGCTCCTGATAAACAGCTTCGCTAACGAGGCACCAACGTCTCCCCCTGGGGCTGGGACACACCAGCACCCATGGTGCGGTACAGGGGCCCCAGGTGGTGTGGTGAGGGCCCCGTGGTAGTCATTGCCAGCTGCCATGGCATGCCGGGAGCTCCAGGGCATCAGAGCATCATCAAGTGCTGGGAGGGCTGGGGAACGGCCCCACAAGGAGACAGCCACAGGGCCACCACAGCCTGAAGCACAGCCAGGGGACCCTGGCAGCAGCTTCAGTCACAACACTGTGTCCCTGCCGTGCTTGGCTCCTGCACAGTCACTGTAGAGCAGCAGCTCATGCAGCTGGATACCCCTAAACTCAGCAGCTTCCCCAGTGCCATGGCCAAAGCACCCCGAGACCTGTTTGAAGCACTGTGGGCCCTGGTTTGGGGTAGAAGGGCAAGAATAGACACCCTGAGAAAGGGACTCAGCCTCTTTCCTCACCGGCACCCACCCCAGAGCAGGCACGGGCTGCCCCGTCCCAGGGTCAGGATGGACCCTCGATCTCCCAGGCTCCGGCAGCCACGGCATGGCCAGCGGGGCACGGTGGGCTCCAGCAGTGCCCGAAGGGTTAAGTGCAGGAGGAGAACGGGCAGCATCACTTCTGCACGACTGCGTTTGTAGAGCAGGGCTCCTCGAGGCGGTGGTACCTTCCAGCAGCCTGTCACGCTGGGCAGATGGATGTCCCCTGGCATCACCGGCCCTGGGCTCAGCGCCCACCGGCCCTGCACCGGAGGGACCCCGGTGGGCCCCTGGTACCTGGCACGCCGCAG